GATGATGCATATTCCGAAAGAAAAGTATCGAATTTTAAAGAAATGTCTCACCATTTAAAAGGCCAATTAGGCACGTATAAAAAATTCATATCTCTTATTTTAATCTAGATTACTACATATTTCAAGATCATTAAAATCGAAGGAGGACACTTTCATGTGTTTTCTTGTAAGGTATATTCCTTCTCATATTTGTTTTAAAGTCATGGCTTTTCCTGTTTCCAATAAAAAAATTATTCTTAATTTCTGCGCTTGACGTCATAATTGCATAACCATGTGATTCCAAGTGCTGGCACGATAGGTAATTTAATGTGGGGTCATGAAATATTTTATGAAAGTCTGATTATCTCTCCAATATTCGATGTTAGTCCGATATCTCTCCAATGTCCCACCATATAAAAATTAGTGTTCTTTCTCATAATCAATATGATATTAACGATAGGAGAAACTCTAAGTATTCTATAGTACAACTATGAAAGAAAAATATAAAGAATCCATCATGCATTTACGATAGGCTTTCGTCAATTTATTATTCACAATAAGGATAAAAAATCCATGCAATTATTTTTCATTTATCTCTTTTTATTTATTTATTATTTTTTTATCTAGATTGCGACAAATATTCTTTCAAGAATATCCGAATACGAGGTCTGTTAAAAAAAAACCGAACTTTTAAAAATTATTTTACTTTCTTAATATACAACTTAATCTGATTTATCTCCTTCAAAGTAATGTCCTTCACTGTTGATATACCGCTTCCACATTTTTTCATTGTTGGAATGCATTCTGATATGCGATTTGTGGAATGGGCTTGAGTTCCTGTAACGACTTTTTTCTATTTCATCTATATTCTGAAAACAACGTCCTTTTAAAGAATTTTTTAGTTTAGGGAACAAAAAGAAGTCAGCAGGTGCTAAATCAGGTAAATACGGAGGCTGGGAAAAGACAGTCGCTTTTGTAAAAAAATTGTCGAATAGGGAGCGCCGAATGCGCGGGAGCATTATCGTGGTGCAGCATCCACGTTTTGTTTGCCCATGCTTCAAGTCTTTTCTTCCTGACTGCCTCCCTCAAACGACGATTATTTTTCACAATATCACATATTTTTTCAGCATAAAAGTCATCAGATGATGTTGCTGGCCAGGTCTTCAATGAATTTTCTGCCTGATTTGAAGCGCTGATACCAATCATAGCACTGTGTACGGCTCATATCTCGGCACTATAAGCCTTTTGTAACATTTTACAACATTCCGTAAAAGTTTTCCCCAACTTCAAACAAAATTTTATGCAAACGTATTGTTCTTCAAGAACCTTCATTTTATTATTAAAAAATCGCCACAACAGCTAAATACGCACTCACTCAAATCATCCTAGACTGAAAGTGAAAGCACACTGAGTGCAAAAACTGTGTTATTTTAAAATAGTTATACTGCAGAATGCCACCTCGCAGGCAAGCAAATACTAATGCATTGGCACGCAATTTGAAAAGTTCGATTTCATTTTGGATAGACCTCGTATATCAAAGCATAAAGCTTCTGCTGACATTGAAACCTATAAGGGTTTCCTTTTCAAATATTTTTAGCTGCACAAGACGACGATTGCAATTTGTTCTTCTTGAGATGGTCCTATTTACAAGTTTCTAAAATAAGATTATCATAATTATTTCGTGCACGTGACTAGGAAATTTTATTATTTCCAAATTACAGAAGCTTAATTTAGCTTATAGGCTGCTGTTTAACGGAAACCTATCATAAATTCATGATTCATTCTTTATGTTCTTTTTTCGTAAGTACCTCATTAGAAAATTAAAGAGGTGTGCGAAATATTTAGCCATAATATGTTAGGTATAATATGTTAGTTAGTTATACTCTTTAAGAATTTCACAATAGATTACGATGCGCTTTCTATTGTAATATTAGGTTGGGGAAAAAGAAATCCATTATTTTTTCGTTTATTTCAAGGCTTTACTTAACATAGTTAGGATTGTTCGATTTTGGTCAAATAAGCACCGTTTTGTTCTACAATTTGTCGCCATTTTAAAGGTAATTTCATGATCCCTCTCTCATAGAAGCCTTGGTCCTTATTTGCAAAAAACTCGACTAAGCGATTTTCACAGTTTTTTCTTGAGGTCAATTTCTTACCATGAAGGAAGTTTTGCAATGACAAAAACAGATGGTAATCGCTTGGTGCCAGGTCCGGACTATAAGGTGGATGCATTAAAATTTCCCAACCAAGCTCCCGGAGTTTCTGACGAGTCACTATAGACGTATGTGGTCTGGCATTGTTCTGATGAAAAACAATTCCTCTCCTATTGACCAATTCTGGCCGCTTCTGGTCGATCGCTAGCTTCAAATGGTCCAATTGTTGACAATAGAGGTCTGAATTTAATGTTTGGCCATATGAAAGCAGCTCATGGTGGATAATTCCTTTATAGTGCCACCAAACACTCAGCAAAACCTTCCTGGCCGTTAATCTTGGTTTGGCCACCGTCTGAGTCGTTTCGCTGCGCTTTGACCACGATCGTTTTCGCACAATAGTCGTATGTAATCCATTTCTCATCCCTAGTCACTATCCGTTTCAGAAATGGCTCGATTTCGTTCCGTTTAGTCAAGGCTTCGCAGATTGAAATTCGGTCCATCATGTTTTTTTTGCGTCAATTCGTGTGATACCCAAACATCGAGGTTTTTCTTGGATCCAGCTTTATGCAAATAGTTTAAAACTGTTTTGTGGTCGATCTTCAGCTCCTGGGCGATACTACGACTGCTAACATGCCGGTCTACTTCGATCATTTCCATAATTTTATTGACATTTTCGACAAAGGGCCTACCTGTGCGAGATGCATCTTTAACATCAAAATTACCGGAACGGAATCGACGAAACCAAAATTGCGAGTGATTGGCTGTGACAGTATCGGAGCCATTAATACCATTCAGAATTTCAGCCGTCTGGCTTGCATTTTCGCCTTTATCGAAGCAAAATTGTAAAATGTACCGAATTTTCTCTTTGTTAACGTATATCTTTTACGTGCTGTAACTCACAACTTAATCGACAAATCACAAAACCGTAAAAGAACTTTTTAGTACGGAATGTCACTTTTCCAACGAGTATAAATATTAACCTATGCGATTAATACATCACATGATATATACCACTAAAGCCATCTAGCGGAAAAATAATGGATTTCTTTTTCCCCAACCTAATATTATATTATATTTAGGAATCAATTTTATATTAAGTATTGTTGGTACACGATGGACTTACTTTCGTAATTATACGAAATATAAAGTTTTGAGAGGGAAATTCTCGTATCGTTAATCCTATCTATCTAACTATTATCTATCTACCTAACTATTAATTACGATATATTTTTAATAATTTTGACCATATACAGAGAAAAATATTTGGTTCAATAAAACAATTTTCTGGTGAGATATAAACAATACAAAAATTTTGATTGGAGTTATCAGAACAAATTATCAAGATATTTAAATTATCAAGATTTTTGATTAATTTAAATAGGATTCTGGTATTTTCAATGAGAATTAACCGTTAATATTTTGTTCAGAAAATTGATTTGTTCTAAATATTTTTCTCCATATAAACTCGAACAAAACAGTAGGATATGATATGTCTCTCTGGAAATTCTATTATATTTCAACGATTAGTAAAAAGCGATCCCATTTATTTCAGATTCGATGCAGCAAACAATAGATTATGATAAGATAAAATAACAATGAGATTCTCTGTAGATCCTATCGGTTTCTATCACTTTCTCTCTTTTGATTGTTTTTTTATCACAGAATTTTTTACAGTTTCAATATGAGTTATTTTTGCTATTTTATAAAATGATCTAGTAGTTGTAATCGCAAATATTTAGTGGTCATACCAGTGCAAGCTTAAGTGCGATGCGGTGATGTGAGTACAAGTAGCGGCGTTGCTCTTCTCCTTGCCGCGCGTTGGGAAGAATTACTCGAACAATTGGACTGCGTTACAGTCTAATAGCGTTCAAACGCTCCTACTCTATATCTCGATATGCACTTTATCTGATTTCTATAATTAATAACTTGCTGATTATTGCGAATATCGCAAAATGATATAGGACTTTCTTGTTCATTTTAATTTGTTTTATGTTCGCGAACTGTGGCATAAATGTTTTGAGGAGCTCTGTATATTTTTATATCAAAAATTGAATCTTGATGGTTTTAAAAATGTGTGGGATTCTCGAAAACAATAAATAACATTTCCCGAAATATTTTTTTTATTTTTATACTATATAATAAATTATTAGTTTTTAGACTTTCGCGGCCATTGATACAATCAAGGTGTGTTTCTTCCGGATGGATACCGTGTTGTAATTCGGCTACATGCCAGTATCGGAACTCCTAGCCTTGATGATGCAAACTACAATGTTTGCGAAACGTCGGCACGAAGCTGAATTATAACGCGGTATCTATCCGGAAGAAACAGACCCTGATTATAATAAATTATCTTGGAAAACGTAAATGATTCAATTAATTTTTTTTTAATAACTTATTTCATTTTTCCTTTTCTGCAGAATTATAATTTTCTTAATTATTATAATTGTCTCTTGTCATAATTGTTGAATAGATATTTATTAGAGATTATATGTACAATTGAAAGCAATTTGCAATATTCTAAGGAACATAAACTTTTCTTTTTATCATGGGGAGAAATCCTCATGGATATCCTTGCCCTTTTGGGGAGGGGCGGGGGTTATGCTGGACTCTTACCGGCTGAACCTCTCCTCCTCCTCCTCCGGTGCGTCTTCCAGATGAGCCGGAATGGGGAAAGCTGGGGGAACTACGCCAATATTCCCTCCCCAGCATCCCGGTCCTAGGGCTCATTTTTAGCGAGCCTCTCGCCCAAGTGCTGCATTGCTCGGGAAAGAAGGGCGACGCGCCTCGACCGGGCAGGCTTGCTCGGCCGGGTGGGCCTTCCTGGTTTCATAACTGAAAGGAAAATGGGGGACATCCACATAAACTTACCGCACGATTGATGTCACCGATGCAAACCCAAGTCCCATTATTTTTATCCTCGACAGCCACTGCCCATTTGGAGTGATCTTGGCTGTTCTTAAAATCTACGTCAAACTTATTCAAATGGATAGATAAAATGTTGTAAACTCTGTAAAAGAATTGAGAAAAACTGAATTAAAATATATTATATTGACATAAAGAAAAATCATTTATCTGTCAATAACGAATTCACAATGTGACGAAATGGTTATCGTTTGGTTAATCATTAATTTTTTAAATATTTAAAAACATCTACAGAGTGGTTTAAAAGTCTGGAAACGGCTAATTATCTCTGAAAGTAACGGTCCTGCAGGAAAATGTTTCAGACAAAAGTTATAGGGTTTTAAGTAACTCATTGTGTAGTAATATTATTATGACCTAGAAGAGTTTTGTCAAGGTCACGTAAAAATTACTTTGAATTTTTTGGTTAGAAATTTCCATTTTTTATTACACATTCTTATAGCTTATCTCGAGAGCTTTCCAAAACACTATATTTAAGTTATTTTTCATGAAGTACTTTTTGAGTTATGAGGCTTGAATGTTACAGTACCGCCGGCATTAGCATTATCTAAAGTATACCGCATGGAGGTTGCATGGTCGGATTTACACCTCTGTTCTGTGTAATGTATGTATGCGTACGTGTTAAGGGGCGGACTCCACGGCTTGTCAATCCCGCGGTATTTAGGGATTCCAAATCGCCTCTACATACTCGTGTATTCGTGTGTGTATGTGTGTATGTGTGTGTGTGTTGACGCGCGCGCGCATGTGCGTATGTATATATGTATGAATTAATGTATGTATGAATGTATATATGAATGTATATATGAATGTATGAAGAAAGAATGTGAGAAGTCTAATTTATCAAATGCTCGAACTAACGTCCTTCGACAGTTATACAGTGAGCTAATCTTTCGTAGAAATTATTAAACATATTTCCTATTTAAGCAGGCGTGATAAGTGCCGCTTCATTTATTATTTGAGCCGAAAGTTCATTCAAATTACGAGGCTTTGTTTCATAAATCTAATTTTTCAAAACTTCTCATAGAAAATAATCAATAGGTGACAGATCTGGTGATCTAATTGGCTATTTAATCGTACCTCTACGTCCTATCCACTAATCAGTGAAAATCATAAGTATTGTCTAATTGTTAAAACAAAATGAGGCCCTGCCCTATCCTGCTGAAACCAAATATTTCGCATATTACAGGGTTTTTCAATTGGTGCGGGTCGATATTGGTAGTCTGTGGCGGCCATGCTGTTTTGGCGGCGTCTGTCTAACCTGTTGTTTATTATTCAGTCACTGATGCCAAATCACCATGACAAGTTATATGATTGAGCAGCACGTCCAAATGATAAAACTTTATTATCAAAATGAGTGTTCGTTAGTGCAAATGTTGCGCACGTTGCGCCCATTTTACGGCAGACGCGGTGGCCCTTCAAAGTCGACTCTCCAACGTTTGGTGGCCAAATTCGAGACGACCGGTTCGGTAAACGATCAGCCAACACCCGTACGTCAAAGGAACGCCAGATCGGCCGAGAACATCGCCGCTGTAAGTGAAAGTGTGCAGGAGAACCTGAGGCAGTCAATTCCTCGCCGTGCACAAGAACTCGGCCTTTCGCAGACTTCAACTTGGCGAATTTTGCGTCGGGACTTGGGCCTGCACCCGTACAAGATCCAATTGGCCCAGGAGTTCAAAGTTAATGACCATAGACAACGCCGTTTGTTCGCTGACTGGGCTTCGGAGCATTTGGAAGAGGACCCCAATTTTGGCCGAAAAATCATCTTTAGCGACGAGGCGCATTTTTGGATGAATGGCTATGTTAACAAGCATAATTGCCGTATATGGCACGACGCCAATCCACACGAGGTTCAGCAGGTAGCAATGCATCCACAAAAAGTTACTGTTTGGTGCGGATTTTGGGCCGGCGGCGTCATTGGTCCGTACTTTTTCGAAAACGACGTTGGTGAGGCCATCACCGTCAATGGCGAGCGCTATAGAACGATGATAACCAATTTTTTTTGGCCTAAATTGAACGATATGGACGTGGACGACATGTGGTTCCAGCAGGACGGCGCTACGTGCCACACAGCGGACGCCACGATGGACATTCTGCATGAACGATTTGAGGGTATGGTTATCTCTCGCAGAGGTGACGTGAATTGGCCATTAAGATCGTGCGATTTGACCCCGCTAGACTTTTTTTTGTGGGGTTTTCTGAAGTCGCAGGTCTATGCCAATAAGCCGCAATCGACCGATGCCCTTAAAGTCAACATAACCTAGGCCATCGCTCAAATTCAGCCGGATCTATGCGGCAGAATCAATGAAAATTGGACTACTCAGATCCGTGCCACCGTGAGAAGCCGCGGCGGACATTTGAACGATGTTATATTCCACACATAATGGCATACATGGGCCTTTCAAATAAAAAAAGAATTTTGTTAATACCTTACACACAGCTTGTTTTATTCCATTGCAACATCGACCCGCCCTTATTGAAAAACCCTTTATTAGGATATAAGTTTTCGATAGCAGGTACAACTTGATGTTTCAATAAATACAGATAATTTTGTGCGTTCAAATTTCCGTCAAGAAGGAGTGGACCAATGACATAACATCTGTATAATCCAGTCCATACGTTTAATTTTTGAGGATATTGCGTACGAAGATTAGTCATCCAATGAGGATTAACATTACTCCGCTATCTACAATTGTGCCTATTAACAGCGCCACTTACAAGTAAACCTGCCTAAGTGTGACTCTCCGATTTTAATGAACTTTTAATATGTTGTTTTCCAATTCAGAAAAAGGACATTTTTTTATTCGGGCCCATACGCACTTTTAAGGGATAAAACATCCCTTTGAAAAAAATGGGGTTTTCTCTTTCAGGGCGAATATCGATGAAATTTGCGGCTGGAAGGGGAGTCGGTCATTGACTTGACCTGGGCCTCCCCTTCGGCCGTCCGGATTTTCCGGGAGTGGGCAGTGGTGACCGAGGGCGAGAATTTATCTGATCACAGATATATAGTCTGGGCCCTCGGTCCTCAAGCCTCTCCGTGTTGGACTGCCGCCCAAGGGGGAAGGACTTGGTCTCCGAGGTGGGCCCTCAGTCAACTTGACGCGGACATGTTCCGGGCGGCCGTCCTCGCGGCCACCTGGCACCTAGGAGGGGGCAGATGAGTGGGATGCTAGCCCCCAAGAGAGGGCTAGAATGATAACGGGCATTGTGACGTTGGTTTGCGACGTTGCGATGCCCCGGTCCCACCCCCGTCGTCGCCGGGCCGCTTATTGGTGGAGCGAGGCCATTGCCGAGCTCCGCCAGGCCTGCATTCAGGCCAGACGGGAGTATTCCCGGGCCCGAGAGAACGACGGGGATGCCGCGAGGGAGGTAAAGGGCTATCGCTCTGCGAGAAAGGTCCTCACAATCGCCATAGCCGAGGCTAAGAAGGGAACCTGGGAGCAATTGGTGAGCTTCCTGGATGAAGATTCGTGGGGGCGCCCGTACAAGCGGACGGTCAGTAAGACCGTCCGTGAGCGCCCCCACCAACAAGTCAATGGACCCCCAGATCCTCGAGGGGCTCCTCGACACCCTCTTCCCGAGGGTAGAGGGGGTCCCCCCTCGGATCCCCGCTCCAGAGGGAGGGGAATGAAGCGAGGACCTGGAGGTCGATCCAGAGTAGCTCGCCAGGGCCAGGAAATAGCTGGAGACCAAGAGCAAAGTCCCTGATTCCGACGGCATTCTTGGCCGCGCCTGGGCTCTCGCCCTCGGCGAAGGGAACATGGCCGCTACCACGAGGGATGTCCTCAACGGGTGTCTTAGGGATGGAGTTTTCCCCCCAGGGTGGAGGAGGGCCACGCTGGTCTTCCTCCCGAAGGCGAGTAAAATACCCGATGGACCGCTGGCCTACAGTCCGATTTGCTTGCTGGCCGAGGCGGGCAAGATGTTGGAACGCATCATTGCGGACCGCCTCGTCCGGCATCTGTCCTCAGAGGGGCCGGACCTCCAGGCAGTACGGGTTCAGGCCCGGACGGTCTACGATGGACGCCATATAGCACATCCGGGACCTGACCCATGCCGTCGTGGAGGAGGGAGGCGGGGTGTTGTTGATGGTATCGTTAGATATAACAAATGCCTTCAACACCCTGCCCTGGCCGGAGATTGGGCGGGCGCTCGAGTACCATCGAATGCCTGTCTATCTCCGGCGCATCCTAGCGGCCTACTTTGGGGACAGGGGCTTTGCCTATCCGATACAGGGCGGGGTCCAAGGCCGGCGGATCATGGAGCGCGGTGTTCCGTACTAGGCCCCCTACTATGGGACATCACGTTCGATCGGACTGCGCACGCCCCTCCCCCTTGGCTGCTATGTCATCTGTTACGCGGATGACACCCTAGTGGCAGCCGGGAGGGAGAACTGAGGGGAAGCCCGCCTCCACGTGGAGGTGGCTTTGGTGTCGGTGGTGGGCACAATAAGTAGCCTGGATCTGAAAGTGGCGCCTCACAAAACGGAGGACGTCTTTTTTCACGATGGCTGTGGGACGCCACCGGAGGCCCGGGTTTTGGTGGACGAAGTCTGCGTCCACGTCGGGCCCAAGATTAAATATCTAGGCCTGACGTTGGACAGCCGATGGGACTTCAGGGCCCATTTCAGGGACCTGGACCCCAGGTTAGAAAGGCGGGTCTGGCTCTAGTCAGAATAATGCAGACCCAGAGGGGCCCGAGCTGGCACGCGCGCCGCCTGTATGTTGGAGTGGTGCTCTCGATCGCTCTCTATGGGGCGCCGATATGGGCGCTCCAACTTTTGGCCACCGCCCAAGGCAAAAGCCTTATGCGCCAGGCGCTGGGAGCGGTGGCTATGAGGGCGATTCGGGGGTTCCGCTCCGTATCATACATGGCGGCGACAACACTGGTCAGCTCCCCCCTCGTGGAGCTCCTAGCTGAGGAAAGAAGCATGCTCTACTGGAGGACAAAGGAGCTCCGCGAAAGGGGAGAGGTATCGGTCAGGGATTTGGCGGCCCTGAAGTCTCAGGCGGTTGCCCGGACCCTGCAGCGGTGGGCGGACGCGATATCCGCCCCGCGGGAGTTCGGGCAACTGACGACGGAGGCTGTCCG